GCAGGAATGGAGCTGCTCATTGCTCTGCCTTCTTTAAACCGTTGAATCCCCAGTGCTGGGTCCAGAGGGATGCTCGGCTCCTACTGAGGAACGTATTGAATTTTGTTGCCTTCAAAATGTTGAGCCTTGGCCAGGAAAAGCTTTGGTCTCCCCGAGAATTTTAGGAATGTTGTTACGGAGTTTTGTCTGTTGAGCTGCTCAGCAGCTTTGAATCAATGAGTCAGGAAAGGGAAATCATACAAACAGAAGATAATTTGTTTTAGGAAAACAGTTATAACTCATTTTGTGTTTTATGAAGCTGAACTATTGTATTATGTCCTGGTTGCAGAAGGACGTGGTGTCTTCTTTCAGTATGTATAGATTAGGCATGCAGAAATTGAATGAATAGCACTGTTCTTCAATAGCCCAATAGTTCTGTTAATGGAACACGCTGAGTAAACCAAACAAAACTGCATTAAGTTGTCTCGAGTTCAACATTGGGCGTCTCTTTAGCTACTGCTTGGCCCGTCACCAGCGTGTCTTTGCCATAGAGGCAGCCTTAAGTTTTAACAAGCTGTGATCCAAAGAGCTTTCTCATTTACATCAGCAATAAAGAAGAATACCTGAAAGAGGGATATTATGGGTTATGATTTCTGTAGGCGTTTGGGTTATAAAATATAATGTGGCCTGGCATGTTAATCCAGAAAAAAGCTCATAAAAGAAAGACAACTCTTGTATTTCCCACTCCTATATTTGAAATGTTTTCTCCTGACTCTAAATGTTACTTGTTACAGAATAAAAAAGGTTTATTCCTGGGCAAGGCTCTTCCCAAAGCTAATCCTAATAAATATATCTTATTTCTCTACCTGAGCTATTACTTAAGGTGTAAGCACAGGGAACTGAAACAGAAAATCCTTTTAATACCGCTTTTGGCTTAAATTCTTTATTAAATTATATGAAAAGGTGATGAAAATAGGGCTGCCTTCTGTTTTGTGTGCTCAAGTTCATGGTGCTGCTGGCTTGTTTGTCCTCAAATGAGTAACATTAATTAGGTATATAGAAACTTTATCATATTGCCTTAACATGATGCCTTAGAGTGGAGCCTGTTGAAGGGAAATGCTTGTAACATAGTTAATATAATTGAAAACTTATATCTAAATATCTCTATAAATATCTAGAGATATATAGCTTGAGTTGAATATCAACATGTTCTGCATATAAGCTTTTTGCTGTGTCTCTGCTTGCTCAGATACCTGGAGGAGGATAGGTAAAAATGGTAATCATAGAATCACAGAATGGTTTGGGTTGAAGGGACCTTAAAGCTCATTCAACCCCCTGCTGAAGATCTAATCTAACCTAAGGTCTAATCTAGCCTAAGATGTCACCTCAGTCGACTCTCTTCAAGCTTGAAGCCATTACCCAATAAATAAAATAGCATTCTGACTTCTATTGCAAAAATTCCTATTTCTGGGGGGACGATGCCTGGATTTTCCTTGTTGGGAAAGTTTTGGGGGCTTGAATGGTCACCCAGAGGTGTAGGCATCTTCACACCCTCTGGGGTGGGGTAAAGATGGGATGCTGGGTGTGGGGAGGATTTTCGCAGGGAATAAGCAAAAGCCAAGCATGAGCAGCCTGAAAAGAAGCAAAAGCTCTGCATGGCAATGTTCCTTAGCTGTGTGTCTGAAATAATCTTTCAAATGTAATCTGCTTGCTCGGCAGGTTTTGGCTGTCCCAGAACTTGTTTAGTCAACTAAAGTGAATTCATATGCAACAGCCTGAGTTTAAACAAATCCCTGTGTTCAAACAGGGGGGAAAATATCACGTTGTTGCTACCAGAAGGTAGTAAACCTCCTTTGGTTCTTAAATCATTAAATCTAACACCAGATTGCTAACTAAATGTGCTTGGGAAGATAAAAGTAGGCATGAGAGTGCCCATCACAGGTACCAAAGGTGTCAAATGCCTTCTCGCCAAGATTTCACTGAATTTACCCTTTCTTTTTTGCTTTTAATTGCAAAGTTAAATCTGAAAAGGTCGTTTGAAAAGCTTCAGATTATAAATGTAAAGCTCTTTTTAATCTTTTCTAATAAATAGCTGAGTAGGGAATAAATCAGTTGGGAGCTCAGAGCTGAGCTCTAATATTAAGCCTCAGCACAAAATGTCCATGCACAAACAACAATTAGAAATTATCTTGTGTATAATTACCTTAAATAAGTTTGGCTGAGAAGAAAAGGTGAATGATTCTCAGAACCGGTTTATAAATGAAACATTAATTGGAGCTGTCAGCTTGACAAATCCTGTCACTGTGGGCTGGATTATTATTAGAGTCATTTGGGCACAATTGGAAATACCAGTTTTCAGAGGAGCTGAGTGTTGATTCTCACAGGTTCCCAGTAGATCTTCTCTTCAGAGGTTTCTTTTAAATGGCAATAAATGACTCCATGTATGAGGTGCCTCACTGAGGCAGGGGTTTAATAAAGGCTTTGCATAATAAAGACTTAAAAGCATTTTGATTGGGGAAAAGCAACAGCAGCAAATCGAAATCGCAGTGTCTGAAATGCTGAAAATACTCTGGGTTATGCTGGTGCAATATATGACATTGTCTAACATCTGAGCAGCCTTCAAAGCATTTTTCCCCCCCCCCCCTTTATTCCATATATAATTAAAAAGCAGCTTCCTCTAGCTCATTAGAATTGAGAGTCTTGTCGGAGCAGTGTACTTTTCTATTTATTTAAATAAATGAAGCACAGCCTTAATGCAGCCTCTAATAACTTCTACTATTAAATCTCTCTTGTACAGCTAACACTTCATTTTTAAACAGTGTTTATCTGCCCTTCATGAATACCAAACTCTAAATGAATACGGTCCCCAGAAGCTCATCATATTATTTTGTAGACCATTCAACTGACTTTCACCATACGCTTTTCATTAACTCTACAGTGATAGCAGAGCCCCAGAGTTGAGTTGCTGGTGATGTGCATGTAAATAAGGTCAGGTGGTGGCTTTTCCAATGTAATGATGGCATCTCTCTCTCTTCACAGGCTTTTGGAAATGCAAAAACAGCCCATAACAACAACTCCAGTCGCTTCGGCAAATTTATCCAAGTGAATTACCAGGAGACGGGCACTGTGCGAGGGTGAGTGGCATCAGGTTGAAGATGCTGTGCATCCTTATATCTGCACACCACACGGAGCCTGAGCAGGCTGCTGTAGGGGGTACACAAAGGTTAATTTTTTGGACCAGTATTTTTTCCCAAAATGGAGATGGGAAAAAAAAATCCCAAATGTTTTCAGCGTATTTAAATCCAGTGATATGAAAATGTTGGTGTATCTGAGCTGTACATTGAGGTGTGAATACACCTGGGCTGGCTTCAAGCGTGTTGAGCTCTCCTTAGGATGTCAACTTTATAATTAAGCTGAAATGGAAGTTTTCCTCTTAAGAGACGGAGTTAAGGCAGGAAAGGGGAATGTTTTAGCTAGGCTGGATTAGGGGGCTGGTGCCTATGATGGGAAGCAGAGGTGGAGCAAGCTGGCTTTGCTCAGTCCCAAGGGGGATTTAATCTCCAGCTGCCCCGTGGGTGTTACAGAGGCGATGGAGCCTTGATCACTAATTCCCCATATGCTTCTGTCTCTGCCCTGAAGTCTCTCTTTAAGCCGAGCCCTGAGCAATTAGAGCCACTTTCCCCCTCATTACAAGTGATGCTCGTCTCCAGTGTGGTTCTCCACACTTTATCTCAGCATTTCTGCTGCTACCCAATGTTCTGCGATGTGCAGCTCTGACTCAAACCTTCCTGCCCCAGCAAGGGCTGCCACAGAAGTGCTGCGTGGTTGAAGCCTGAGGAAGAAACCTGCAGCTGGGTTTGCCTAAGCCTGGCTTTTCCTTGGCTTTTGACACTTTTCACTGCATCAGGTCGTCGCGAAGGGACTCAAACTGGCTTTAAATAAGCAGGGCTTTGTTAACTCTGCTTTTTGTCCAGGTTGATTAACTCAGTTGGAAAAACCAAGAGTAGAAGTAGCATTCCAGGGGTTGTGTATGGTTTCTGCAACTAGCTGAGAGAGCTCTTGCTGGGACTTTGTTGTTATTTTAGAGAATTGCTTTTAAATCTTTTTCTTTCTATTTTTTTTTTCCCCAGCAGAACAGGATCACACAAAGTGCTTCCATTAATTTTTCAAATGAGCTGAGTACTCTGTGTACCTTCCCGCTGGTTTGTCATCCTACGTCAAACCTGATGTTCTTTTTCTTGCCTTCTTTTTTCTTCTTTATTTCTGGTGAACAGAACAGTTAAAAGGATAAGCCTCAGGGTTTTTTTTAATACCTACTGAAATACAAGGTAACAAGAATCCAACAAATGCCATAACAAAGTGGTACCTTTATGTCAGCTCTGTGGAAGTGGCGTCTACATTTGGCAAATAGGTGCAGTAACATTGTATTTGTATACTCTAGTTCATAAGAGGAATTTTCTTTCTTTTTTAAAAAAAGCACTTTCTTAGTCTTTGCTTGACAGTCTGGTAGGATTGTGCTTTGCTATGAGCTTGCAGTGCTGCCCCAATGAAAATAAAGAGACATTTAAAATAACCTGTGAGCTGTTCCTGGCATATGAGACCACAGGTTTTCCCCTTAGTCTTACAAAGATCACAAGTATTTTATTTCTTTCCCTTTTAATTTAGCATAGATTTTAAGCACAACCCAAGTTAAGGATAATTTTATATTCTGCATGTTATTTGCTTTGTTAATGTAACTGTAATTTGCAGCCCCAAATCAGGCATTTTCTCTGTTCAGAGGCTGAAAGTAGCAGTTGGATGTTTGCTTACAAACCCTATGAATATAATGCCCCAAAACTTAACGCAAATTTCAGCTTAAGAGATGTAATAGCCAAGAGCTTTAGTAGCAGCCAACTCCACCCCATGAAATAAAGGCTTTGAAGATGTCTTGAAAGTTGATGGAGCATGAGCAATGGCTGCAGCAAACCATGTTCCCATAAAGCTGTCTGAATTTATGATGTCCTCTTCGATGATAAGCGAGTTCTGGAGGAAGGCCTTTGCAACCTTTTCACTCCTCCTAAGATGATCAAAAGTCTCAAGATCTGACATGCTCCATAAATTGCAGAAGAGCCAGATAGGAGACATTTTAATTAAAAGCAGCAGTGCCCTGGTTTAATGGTAACTCTGCGCAGTGGCATGAGGCTGTGTCTCAAATAACATGAGCTGGTGTTTTCAAACAGGCTGTGCTGAGGAGTTTTGCATCTTAGTGTTTGTACAGGCTCTGTAGCAGGCTTAAATGAGTATTTTACACAAAATCATACTCTCAGAACTCCTTTTATTTACTATTAAGGGTAGGTTTGATGTAATTGACAAAGAAAACATTTGGAGACATCTACTTTTTTATCTTTCAATTGGTTTTCCTTTTCACTATCGTCTTACAAGAGGGGACCTAAGTTCCTCTTGGGATGTGCATTCATTATTACCTTTGCACTAAGCAAGGAGAATTTTACCAAAACAGCATTTAAGTTACATCTACCAAAAAGGAAAAAAAAGGAAAAAGAAAGAAATTGCACTGAATTAAATAGTGTTTGGAGCAGATGACTTCCAGAAGACCTTTTCAACCTAAATGAGAGTGATTTCTGGCAGAGGGAGTCTATAATAAGAGCAGAAACCACAGGGGAAGGCATGGAATGTTGAGGCTGGTGGATGTGCTCCGGGTTGTCATACAGCAGCTTGCTGAGCTACTACCCAGGGGTGGGAGTGGTATCTGGGACACTCCAATACCTTCTTCATTTATCTGCTCAAAATCTCTGCAGTGAATATATGGCATGACTTGGAATTTAAAAACTGGTTCCAGGTTAGAAAGTAGATACAAAAAACCTCCTCTCAGTAAGGAATTTCTATAGATTGTTTTCAGCTTCCTCACAGAGAATAAACAATAACAAACCTTTTTGGTGCACATCATACAGAGCAATAGTACTGCTTTGCTGTCCTTTCTTTACTCCTGCTATCCAGCAAGATCAGCAGCATGTTGGGGGTTGTATATGCCATTTCAGAGAATCACAGACTGGTTTGAGCTCCCCTTGGAAGGGACCTTAAAGCTCATCCAGTTCTAGCCCCCTACCACGGGCAGGGACACCTTCCACTAGAGCAGGTTGCTCCAAGCCCCTGTGTCCAAGCTGGACTTGAACACTGCCAGGGATGGGGCAGCCACAGCTTCTCTGGGCACCCTGTGCCAGCGCCTCCGCACACTCCCCGGGAC